TTACACTCTGGGAGGCCGAGCGGGCGATCGCTTGAGGTCAGAGTTCAAACCAGCCTGAGCAAGAGCAAGACCCGTCTCTACTATAAATAGCAAGAAATTAATTGGCCAACTATAATTATAAAATTAGCCGGGGATGGTGGCACATGCCTGTAGTCCCAGCTACTCGGGAGCTGAGGCAGCAGGATGCTTGAGCCAGGAGTTTGAGGTTGCTGTGAGCTAGGCTGATGCCATGGCACTCACTCTAGCCTGGGCAACAAGCGAGACTCTGTCTCAAAATAAATAAATAAATAAATAACAGGCTGTCCAGTCAAAAATAAAATCCTCCTTTCTCTGAATTATTTTAAAAGTAACCACTTCCTGGGCCCTTACTCCTTGCCCTAGTGCCTGGTTGTTGTATTTAGACTTTAGTGTACAAAGAATTAACACCTGGGCGGTAGCTCCCCTAATGAGCCTTGATGTTGGTAATTAATCTTTCTTTAGATCCTCTCTAAACTTTAAAACATGTGACTGCTGCTTGAGTTTCTCGGCACAGAGAAAGAGGGAGAGAGGTTAACTAACACTAAGCCAGAGGTGATTTGCTGCCACTGGACTGCCAGCCCTGAGCAAAATTGAGAGAATGGGCCTTGTTTTTTTGTTTTTTTGTTTGTTTGTTTTTTGTCTTTCATACTCTTTTTGGGGGTAAGGGGCATTTGTTGCTTTTAAGCAAAGAAGGGGATTTAATAATACACACATTTGGAAGGGTAAGTGTGAATTCAGGGACTTTCAGATCCAGGATTGCCCATGTCTTATCTGACATCAGTGTCATCCTCAGGCTCTGTTATTGCCTCATCCTCCTTGGTGCCACTGCTGCTGCTGCCACGGAAGTCTTTTTTTAATTTCAAAGTATTACAGGGGTACAAATATTTTTGGTTACATGGCCTGTCACCCCGATAGCATTCACTGTACCTGTTAGGTAGGTTTTGCTCATCCCCTCCTCACACCTCCCTCCTGCTTGATTTCCATTGAGATTTACTTCCCTCCATGCACCTGTGTGCTTATCAGTTCTTTTCTTTCTTTACTTTTTTTTTTTTTTTGAGACAGAGTCTTGCTTTATTGCCCAGGCTAGCGTGAGTGCCGTGGCGTCAGCCTAGCTCACAGCAACCTCAAACTCCTGGGCTCAAGCAATCCTCCTGCCTCAGCCTCCCGAGTAGCTGGGACTACAGGCATGCGCCACCATGCTCAGCTGATTTTTTCTATATATATTAGTTGGCCAATTAATTAATTTCTATTTATAGTAGAGACGGGGGTCTCACTCTTGCTCAGGCTGGTTTCGAACTCCTGACCTCGAGCAATCCACCCGTCTCCACATGGCCCCAGTTTACAGATAAGGAGAGTGAGGCTCAGCAGGTCCCTTACCCTGTGAGCCAAGTTCCCACTGTACTTGTTGCCAGTGGGAATGACAACCTGCTTTTAGGGATGGGAAAAATTAGACCCAGAGAGAGAAGGCAAGTTTGTCTCAGATCACAACCTAACGAGTCGCAGAACCAGAACCTCAGTTCAGAAGTTAGGTCCCATTTTTTAAGAGACATATTTGGCAGTGGCCTGGTGTTCAGTTGGGGAGACTAAAAATAACTAGGAAATAGGTCTCTCCTGTTTGCTAAGAGGTGGCAAATTTGGACAAGTGTTTCCACTCTGAGTCCTTAATAGCCATTATTAAGCTATGAGTTAGTAGATACCTATTTTTTTTTCCCCAAGCCCATTCTCACCCAGGATTTATTGGACCCTTCCAAAAACCTTGCAAAGAATAGGACTTTTTTCTTTCAGATTGCAACATCTTTGGATCTTGATGCATCTTTTTGGATAAACCTTTTTATCAAAGTAGAACAAACATACAGTAAAGGGAACACATCTTAAGTATATCGCTCAATGTTTTTGGTTTTGTTTTCACAAATGTCACATTTCTATTTGTAAGACAGCATTATTGAGGGATAATTCATATGTTATAAAATGTTCAATGAGTTTTAGTAAATTTATACAGTTATACAACCATCACCTCACTCTAGTTTTGGAATAGCCCTCCCCCTCCCCCAGAGTGTCCCGGCTCTAGTCAATCACTGCTCCGTCCCCAGCCCCAGGCAGCCACTGGGGTGACATGTCCTGTCATGCTTTCTGTCCCATGCTATTTCGCTTCGGCACAGCAACACTGGCTTGAACCCGCAAGGCCAAGACTATCAGCCCGGGTCCCCTTCTTGTGGCTTTCTCTTCCTGAATCAGAAAGGTCCGGCGGGATTTCCCTCCTAAGGGAAGTGCTGCCCTGCCCCTGCAGCTCCACGTCTCCCAGTGTCAGTCCCAGGCATCACAGACATCACCGGCCAAAGAGAGAGCAGAGCGCACAGAGATCCTGCGGAGGAGATGTCAGAAAGCCCCTAGATCAGTTAGGGCTTGGAGGTATAATCTCAAGAAAAATAGGATTTAATGCAAAAGTACGCTATAATTCAATCAGCAAAGAAAAGGGGGCTAAGAGGCAGAAATTCTCATCTCATTCTAGCACCTGCACGCGAATACTCGGGGCCCCTGGCACAGAGCTTCCCAGCCTGTGTGCACTGAATGGGTTGCAGGGGGCCAAGGCACTGATCATCTCAGCCTCCGGGGCAGCTGGAGCAGCCTCCCGCTTTACCCAGGGCTTACAAATCGTGCCATTTCTTCTCCTTGCCAGTTTGTGAAAGGTCGGGACTGCTCTAGGGTTGGGGTGGGGGTGGCCGATGGTGGTCCCAGAGTCAAGCCAGCTCTCAACATCACCCTGCTTTCCTAGGCTGGATTCTGTGTTCACCACAGCCTCTCTGGTAGATTTTTCTCCAGGGTTGAGAGGGTGTGGGCCAGCCTTCAGGAGCAGGCGTCCTCAAACTATGGCCCGCAGGCCACATACGGCCCACCGAGGACATTTATCTGGCCCGCCAGGTGTTTTTGCTGCCGCTGCCTGTCCTGCTTAGCAGCCGACTGGTCCCCGGCCCACAGTGCGCATGTGTGGAATGTGCCCCTCACTCTCCAACGGTCTGAGGGACAGTGAACTGGCCCCCTGTTTAAAAAGTTTGAGGACCCCTGATCAGGAGCATCTCATCCTCCTGGCGATTATGTTATTCTTGTAAAACAACAGACCTCTCTGGTTTGTATGTGTGTGTGCATTACCATGGTAAAATACACACAACATAAAATTTACCATTGTAACCATTTTCAAGTATACATTAAGTGGCATTAAGTACATTCACGTTGTTGTGGAACCGTCACCACCATCCATCTCCAGAACGTTTTTGTCACGTCAAACTGAAACTCTGTACCCATTCAACAATAGCTCCCTATTTCCTCCCCCTCGCCAGCCCCTGGCAGCCACCATTGGGGTTGCATTCCCCATGAATTTGCCCATCCTAGGTACCTCACGTAAGAGGAATCATACAATAGTTGTCCTTTCGTCTCTGCCTTTTTTCACTTAGCATAACGTTTTCAAGGTCCATCCATGTTGTAGCATGTATCAGGATTCCATTCCTTTCTTAGGCTGTCTTGTGCGTGTTTTTTTTTTTGTTTTGTTTTGTTTTGTTTTGTTTTTTGAGACAGAGTCTCACTGCATTGCCCAGGCTAGAGTGCCGTGGCATCAGCCTAGCTCACAGCAACCTCAAACTCCAAACTCCTGGGCTCAAGCAATCCTCCTGCCTCAGCCTCCCGAGTAGCTGGGACTACAGGCATGCGCCACCATGCCCGGTTAATTTTTTCTATATATATTAGTTGGCCAATTAATTTCTTTCTATTTCTAGTAGAGATGGGGTCTCGCTCTTGCTCAGGCTGGTTTCGAACTCCTGACCTTGAGTGATCCTCCTGCCTTGGCTTCCCAGAGTGCTAGGATTACAGGCGTGAGCCACCTCACCTGGCCCATCTTGTGCGTTTTTAATGGAAGTAAGATACCTCCTGTTGCCTTACATCCGGAGACGCTTTACCCATTCGAGTTTCAGGACCCTGGATGGGAAGACCCAGCAAGACACGACTATCCCACGCCAACTGGGATTCTGCTCTTTCTGGCTTCTTCAACCACCAACACTCTGACCCTTCACAGTTAGTTCTCAGGTTTCTTTAACCTCTCTCTGCACGAATGTGTTTGTTATGCCTCATATTTAATTGTGGTAAAAGGCTTTGTTCCTTCTGAAGGAATTTCAGGTACCAGGAAATAGGTGTGGCCATATCAGGGTTCAAGGGTCCTTTGTGCTGAAATGACACCACAGAGAGATTGCTCTAGACAAAGGTCATGAGAAAAATCAACATTTACTGGGCACTTTCTGTGGGCTAGGCTGTCTTCCAGGTACTCGACATCCATCATATGATTTAATCTTTTCAGTAACCCTGCAAGAGACACACGATCATTTGAGATTGGACAGGTGAGGCAAGTGAGGCCCTGAGAAGCTGGTGGACCCAGGATCCCAGAGACGGGAGCAGGGCTAGGGCAAGGAGCCAGGCCTCCTCCTGCCGGACCCCAGGATCCTTTCTCTTCCAGAGCTAGGCGCTCGCTCATATTGGCAAAACACAAGACTTTAGAAAGATCCAGATGCCAGTTGCAGAGGGAGTATTCCATCTTGTCTCCCAGGGTGGCCTCTGGCACCATTAGGGAATCAGGTCCTCCAGGGACCTCCCTGCTCAGCCCAGCCTCCCTGCTCAGCCCAGCCTCCCTGCACAGCCCAGCCTCCCTGCACAGCCCAGCCTCCCTGCTCAGCCCAGCCTCCCTGCACAGCCCAGCGTCCCTGCTCAGTCCAGCCTCCCTGCACAGCCCAGCCTCCCTGCTCAGCCCAGCCTCCCTGCACAGCCCAGCCTCCCTGCACAGCCCAGCCTCCCTGCTCAGCCCAGCCTCCCTGCTCAGCCCAGCCTCCCTGCTCAGCCAGGCCCCGCAGAGGGGCAGGCTGCTTTCCTGGGAGAGGCGGTGGACAACTGCAAGAGGCAGGGGCTGGATCTGGGTGGCCCCGTTTCCCCTCGCAGCGTCCCCAGGACCTGCCTGGTGGACTCAGGTTTGCTTCCCTGACAGACTTCGAACCACCTGAGACAGCGGCCGTTCCAGTGGGCGTGGGGGCAACCCACTTAGCTCTCTTATTCACACTTCCTACGTTCATTCTTCAGTCTGTACTCTTTTATTTTTGAGACAGAGTCTCGCTTTGTTGCCCAGGCTAGAGTGAGTGCCGTGGCGTCAGCCTAGCTCACAGCAACCTCAAACTCCTGGGCTCAAGCGATCCTCCTGCTTCAGTCTCCTGAGTGGCTGGGACTACAGGCATGCGCCACCATGCCCGGTTAATTTTTTCTATATATATTAGTTGGCCAATTAATTTCTTTCTATTTCTAGTAGAGACGGGGTCTCGCTCTTGCTCAGGCTGGTTTCGAACTCCTGACCTCTCAGGCTGATTTCGAACTCCTGACCTCGAGCCATCCGCCCACCTTGGCTTCCCAGAGTGCTAGGATCAGTCTGTACTCTTGAATTCTCTTTCCACAGCCTCTTCCGCTGGCAATGAAACAATAAGGCTGGTGGCTACTGTTGGAAGGTAGGATCCCGAGAAGGCCAACGATTTTCCACGATCCTAGAGCTAGTAAATTGTTTGAAAGGAAGTTTGAGCACAGGTCTGCCTGGCCCCTGTCCAACACGCCAGCAGAGGGCAGTCAAGGGGAGGGGAGATCCAGCGTTGTTATTGGACTTTACGTAACAGAGGCCAGGACGCTGGGAAGGGAGCGTGGAGAATTCTGGAGTTTTACTTTAAAGTGTATCCCCTATTCATGGGGCTGTAATGCCTACCTTTACAACTGCAACATAATCCGATAATCAAGTTAATTCAGTTGTTTTTTTTTCTTTTCAGGTCTTTGTGGTTGAATTTAAAACTATAATTTAGTTGCATGTATTCTTCCCAGAAGGCACCCTAGAGACCGGCCTGTGTAGTGACAAAGGGTCCTATGAAGTGTGAAGCAAGCAGACAGAAAAGCCCCAGGACTGGAAGCGGCGCCAGGCCTCCCTGGATCAGGTGACACCCCAGGGACACATCACATCCGCTGGAGGGGAGGGCCAGCCCGTCTCTTCTAGGGAACGAAGCTGCAAACGCTTTCCCACAGATACGATTATACCCTCCCTCAGCAATTCCCCAAATCATCCGCTGCTTGATCCGGGTGTCCACATCAAGAAGCACACAAGATACACTTGGAGTGTCTGGTTTGTCTGTAGGCTCTAAAGACAGACATTTCCACACGAGTAGAGTTTATATATATATATAAAAAAAGACAGACATTTATTCCCACAAAATGAAATGAATTCCACAAAAATTTAAAAACCAGAGGCTGCTTTCTGACCCTTTCTTCGACATGGCCGAGTGTGTGTCTAAGTGTGTGTGTGTGTGTGTGTGTGTGAGAGAGAGAGAGTGTGTGAGAGAGTGTGTGTGTGAGAGTGTGTGAGAGAGTGTGTGTGAGAGAGTGTGTGTGTGAGAGTGTGTGTGAGAATTGCGACTGTGTGAGAGTGTGTGAGTTGTGAGAGTGTGTGTGTGTGAGTTGTGTGTGAGAGTATGTAAGTCTGTGTGAGAGTTGTGTGTGAGTGTGAGAGTGTGTGAGGTGTATGTGTGAGAATTGTGTGTGAGAGTGTGTGAAAGTGTGTGTGTGTGAGAGTTGTGTGCATGTGAGAGTGTATGTGTGTGAGAGTTGTGAGAGTGTGAGAGTGTGTGTGAG